CAGCGCCTCAGCACCCTCACAGGGAAGAGCTTCTGCCTTATATCTAAGCTGAACTTCCCCTGTCTCAGTTTAAACCCATCACCCCTTGTCCTATCACTACAGTCCTTGATGAAAAGCCCCTCTCCAGCATCCTTGTAGGCCCCCAGCACAGTGCAATTAATGAACGTGGAGATACCCCAAGGATACAACATGCTGCATATCTGAGCTTCAATATCCCAAAACTGAGACTTAAAGCACCTCGGAAGGTGCCCAGGCTGCCCAGCCCTGTGAACCACCTGCACCACAAGGGAGCAAACTCCCTTCCCACCACGGGCTACATAGGGAAATGCAGTGATTTTCAATCACCTCGGAAGCCGGGAGCATGTGGCACTGCTCATGTCCCGGGAACCAGCCCCTTTCCCAATAAAGCCTCTGATGGACTTGACCTCAGCAGGGGAGTGGGGTGATAAGCGTTGTTTGTTGTTCCTGCCGCGCTGACATTCCCTGGCTGCCGGCTCCAGAACTTGCTCAGCTGATGTTCACTTAACAAAAATAACCGTGGCGCCGTGTCTTTTGCGAAGTTCATTTTAACCCATTGCCAGCAAACCCTTGCGGGCTGCGGCACGACGAATCCCAGCGATGGGGGAACCAGCATGGTTTGGGGTGAGACAGAGTGGGGGTGAAACAGGAAACGGAGGCGGGGGGGGGAATGCTAAAGGCAGCCACAAGAGCTGCTTTCACACTGGGGTTTCTGGGGTGGCAGCCAGGAAGGGTCAATGGTGTCATGCCCAGCCGGCAACGCAAAGCAAACAGAAAACACCACCCTGCTCCGAGGCACTGCTTTATCCAGGAATAAAGGCACTGTGACAGAGGCAGACCTGTGCTCCCAGAGCCTCCTTTCCCTTCCCAGCTTCTGCAGCGTTTCCTACAAGCACAACTGACTCCCTGAACACAAACGCAGATGACTCAAACTTCACGAGGAGCTGAGATCTGCTCCCCCTAAAGCTTCTTCCCCGTCATTCCTGTGCTGCGGCTCCAGGCCTGAATACTCAGGGTCTTGCTAAAGGAAACAGAATAACAATCCTCAAAACATCTAACTGCTCCCCGGGGACACATAACTGAGCCCTTCACAGCTGTTGGGCTGCAGCTTCCAATGATTTGGGTAAAAGATCCTTTCCCAGCTCAAACAGCTCAGTGTGCATAAGACTTCCCGATGCTCCTTCATCTCCCAGCTTGGAAATCTTCACCTTCCCTTCCCAGCATTTCGGATGGAGTCAGAAGTGCTTATGGTCACCACACTCCTGCCTGATGCTGCCCAGCTTCCCTGGAGATGTGCTTCTTGGGATGACTTCAGGGAAATTCAGCTGCAGATACTATAAACCGAGGCGGAAATGACTGAATAAGGGAGTCATGCGTCCTTCTCCAAGAGCAGGCAGACTCCTGCATTTACAGAGCCTTGGGCAGACTTCATGTGTGTGTGTGTGTGTGCAGAAGTAGGTGAAAGAAATAAGCAGGTGAGTCAGGGTAAATGTATCTTCTTGTAAAGCACTCGGAATAATGCCATTAAATGTCAAAGCAATATCTCATTTCAGCTTTGCTGGCTCTTTTCCTACTGAGAAACCTCCCAGATTATTTCTGACCTGGGTGATTCACCTTCATCCTACACATAGAAAGGACCCATGAGAGTGAGGGATGCAGGAAGCAGCTGCGCACACGCCATCCTGGTATGCTGAGGACTCCAGCAGTGGTCCAAGCTGGGCCTCCCTGAAGAGACAGAAGCAGCTCATATGTGCACAAGTCCCTCCAGACACAGCCCAGGTTTGCACTGGTAGTTTGTGGTCTTCTGGGATCAACCCAATACAGGAAGATGAGCAGGTCCCTAGAAGATGACCCTTAGGGAAAAGTCCTTCTCCAGAGGCCCTTTCAGGAGGAAAGCATCCCCTGAATCATTAATTCTCCTATATTGCTGGAGTGCATCTGCTCTGCAAGAACATCACCACAGCCTGCGCGGGCCACGCACCAAAGCGTCACCCCCATGCTTATGTTCATCACTTCAGCTCCAGTAAAATAAGCTGTCACATCCCAGCCGAGGTGCTGGGACTGATTTTTTTCTCCTCCACCCACCACAATGTGCTTGCAGCAAAGTCTAGGTTCACAGCCTTATGCAATGCAGTACATCCTCCTGAGGGGTGGGTCTTGTTTTGCTGCTTCTGTGGCCAGGAGAGACCCAAAGCATATCATGGAGCCCCTGAACTCCCTGCCAGAGATACCCCAAAATACCAAGCAGCATCTTCTCATGCTTCTTATGTGTATAGCCCATGTGCAGGATGCTCCCTGCTCTTTACCCTTATCGACAGCCAACCGAAAGACTTCAGACAAACACGTGCAACCCTCAGAAGGGAGACACAGGCTCACACTTGTCCCATGGATGCAGCCTCCCAGGATGGCCCCATAACCCACACCCTGCAAGCAGAAACTCCCCTCCACCTTGTGTGCTGGACGGAGCCTGGGTGAGCAAAACTGCTCCCCATCTTTGAAAGGATGCTCTATGCAGCACGTCTCCTGCCTGAATGGATTTTTGCCCTCTCTTAGCAGCAAAAGCAGGTTTATAATGTGAAAGATTTTACCTTCTTCGGCTTCCAGATCCACCAGTGAAGATACCAACACGCCCATCTCCTGACATTTTTTGCTGTGGGCCTTTGACTTCATATGTTTAGTCAGATTCCCTGAAAAGAAGCAGAAAACATATTTTGCTCAATATGGCTCTTTTTTCCCCTGTTTTGCAAGCTCAGCAGTTCCAAGTTAATAATTTGGCTCTGAACCAGACAAAGGAGGCCTCTGACTCTCCCCAAACCACTATCCATTGCAAATCCCCTGTGACACAAGACTAAGTCCTCCCTTTCATTCCTTTGCTGCTGCGCTGGGATGGAAGAGGAGGTGCTGGCAGGGCTGTGAGACCTTTCAGGTGTTGTGCAACCTGAAAAAACAGTTGTGGTACACATTTGGGTTTGGAGGCAGAGAAGTCCGGGCTCGCTTTCAGCTGTGATGGTGCAGCAATGAAAAATGGTAGGGAAGCAGGGAACAGAAACACATCTCAATCTAGTATCACCTCCCACCTCATCCCAGCACAAAGGGTCACCTGCCTGGAGGTGAGGAGCTCCTTAGCACCACAGGGCAAACCGCTACTACCAAAATGAGTGCTCGAGATGCCAGAAACAGGGAAAAATCCCTACAACCACCATCTCCCCCCCTTGCAGGATGGCTCGGATGCTCTGACAGGCAGTGCCAGGCTAAAGCTCTCTGCTCCCTGGAGCAGGAGGAGTCATGGGCAGTCTCTGAAGCCCCATGAACCAGGGTCTGGCAGCACTAATGAGGCTTCCTCAGGGCCCGGGGTGGTAAAAGGAGCCTCTGCAAGGGGAGGGTGTGGGATGTGGGGGCATCAGTTACTGCTCTGAGACAGTGGGATGGGATCACTCGTGGGCACAGTGGCACATCGCTAAGTCTAACTCCCAAATTACAGGCAGGTTAATTAGACAGTTATTAACCCTGCTGATATCCAAGGGAAATGGTGAACAAAGGGCAACCTTTGCTGAGGGGGAAAAGGTAGGAAGGTGGAATGGAGAGAAATACACAGGGTAGGAAAAAAAACAACTATGTCCTATTTTTCCCTTTCCTCTCCCACATTTCTTTATGGGCTGAGCTGCTGCTTAGAAGAAACCTGTGCTCTTGCTGAAGCTCCACCAAAGGCTGTTTCATATCCCAGCACGGCCCCAGGAGCTGGCTGAGCCCCCCATGCTCACAGCAGCAATATGATGTGCCATGAGCCTGTCTGTCAGCCCACACCTGAGAGCAGGGCTGAGCACGAGGCTTGTTCTCACCAGAAAAATAAGAGGAAAAAAGGAATTCTCACACTTTATTCTAACCTTCAGCTGAGGACCGAGGTCCCTCGGCTGGCATCCTGCAATCCACAGTCTCCCAGTCTCTCACCTGAGCTAGGTGGGAGTATAGAGGGTCTCTATCAACCTCTCCTCCCGCTGCTCTGGATAGTATAAATAAACAAGCAGCTCTTCATCGGAGCAGAGAATTACCCATGACACCCTCCCACTTCAGAAGAGGGCCATGAGCTACCAAGTTAAGTTTCTCTTTAGCCCATGAATTATTTATTTAGCCCGTTTTGTACAAAATGGAATAACTCCAACAGGAAAGACCAAGAGAGACAAAGGCTGACTATATATACTTGTGTAGCTGGCACCCATCTAGGATGTGGATTCAAAGGATATTTAATAAATGCAGCATAACAGCCCCAATAAAAGAGGTGCGTTATTTTTCAACTTCATGCTTAAATACCCTTAGGCCCATGGGGAGGACACTCAGGTATGAGGATGAAGCCAGCTTGGCTCAGGTCCTTGCTCTGAATGAGGCCATTCTCCACTTTGGACCAGGGGTTTTGTTCTGGACCCAAAGACACCCAGAACTTTGTGTCCAGTTCTGATCAGAGAGATGGACACAAGATCCAGTGAATCAGATCTGTGGATTCTGGTTCACATCCACACATGCAGACAAGATCATGCTCTCATAGACACCTCCGATCCCAGTGAATCACCATTGTTTTAAAGTGAAAAACTGCTTCACCAAAAACAACGAGTCCAGATTGTGGTCTCATGGAACTGGAATTCAATTTTGGACCTAACTAGCAAAAAGACAAACTGACTCAGTCTGTTGAAATCAAACCCTGCTGCTGCCTGTCCATCACGGCACATCACATCTTGGCTGGCAAAAATGACCCATCTTTGTGCAGTTACCACAGCAAAATCCCTCACTGGATTCCTTCCAGTGACAATAAACACAGAACATAAGCCCAAGTAAATGCCTGGTGTGAGCAGGGGGGTGTTGGTTAACTTGTGGTCTGTGGCACCTCGGGAATTCAGCTGTGATCGCCATGAAGAGCTGGGAGGGGAGGTCCACCAGGCATTTTGGTGCTACCATTATCCCCAAAACAAGCTCTTAAATCCACTGTGTTACATGCATCTGGTTTGGCTAAACTGGAAGGGCAGAACATCAATTACTCGAGGGGTTCGGGGATGCTGAATGCAATGTTCTGGGCAAGACTGGGACCTCGCCATGCTCAAGGGAAGGACTCTGGTCCTCAGAGGCATCCAGCAGCCACCTTGGCCACTTCAGATGTCCAAAGGATGTTTGTACATACAATTCCTCCCCACCACCTGCGCTCCAGTGCCATCGGCAGCAAACACTCACTCTCCCTTCTGCTGCTGCAGGGTTTGGGCAGATACTTCTGCAGCCTGCAGCTCTGTGCCCATCCCTTCACTGCACCTCTGCTCTGACTCAGCTCCACCCTGAGCAACAGTTTGACTTGACAAGCCACCACTGTCCCTTTCTTTCATACTGTCTTTCACTGGAGGCAACTGCCCTTGTGCAAGGCAAGGCCACGGCTTCTCCTCTTCCTTCCCCACCCAGGCTGCCTGCACAGGCAATGCCAAAACCCCACGTGCAAATGAGTTTATGCAAAATACCAAAGGACCAATTCATAGTAAGTGTTGGCTTTCCTTCCCCTTCCACTTTTTCCTAGCCTGCTTCCCATCTTCCTTCATTCTCACTTGGTCAGATAAAGCAATACCCACACGCGCTGATGAACAAGATAAGCCTGCAAAGCTCTCAGTGCAAATCCCCTTGGTGCACAGTCTATCCAGGCACAGCTTGCTGCATGCACGCCACAAAGAAATCCCCACAAAACGGGGATGCTGCTATCCTTTTAGGGAAGGGAGACTCAGCGGGCTGGATCCTCATCTGCCCTAAGCTTGCATCATTTTCAGGAAGTTAAAAGCTCGAGGCTCATTTACACCATCTGAGAAGTTGAGTTATTACCTTGGGAGCAATTTGGAGGACAACCATATTTATCTTATCAGGGTTCTTCTTACAGTTTGTGTTTTTAGACCCCTTAATTAATGCTGGCAGGATTAAATGCTAAAGTCCTTCGGCAAGTTTCCAGTAAAATCAAACACCACTTTGCCTAAGTAAAAGCTGGATAGGAATCCTACAAGGAAGGACTCAAAGCAACTTGTTGCCTTAAAGAGTTCTGGCTCCCAAGTTAAAAAAGAAGAACCAAACCCACAGAGCATTGCTTCCTTGGAAACAGTGGAAAAAACATATCTGGAGGAGCAAGAGAGAAACTAACAGGAGGGGAAGCTGGATTTCAGTGTCCCAAGCAGGTGAGTGGTCCTCACTAAGGGTTGTTTACCAGAAGGTTCCCAGATTTAAAATACACTGGCTATACCTAAATAAATCCAGGAACCAGTGGAAATTGTGACCCCATCCCTACCACTGCTGCACTGGGTGATGTTCAGTACCAGCACAGTGCTCTCATTACCCCTGCTTGTAACTATGTAATAGTGGCTGCTTAAGCTCTTCCAATGCTGTGAGGTCTTACTCTGGACTTAAAGCAGCTTAAATACTTGTGTTGTTTTGAGAAAGCTAGAGCTCTAGTGTTCCAAAAGCACTCAAAGCAGCTTCATAGGGACTAGAAGTGCTTTCCCAGTTGAATTGAAAGAGGGAAATTAGTTTTTCAGAGTATCCATGATCATATTTTTAAAACGTTAAAGCAAAACATAGGGGACAGAAACATGAAGATCCTTGGAAAAAATGATCCCGTCTATCCCGGGCATGCACCACTATGGTTTCTATTTCTCTCTTAAATGTGAATAATTTAACACCAACAAAAAGCCCCCAACAAATTACCAGCTGCGTGATCTCAGCATCCAGGGTGATGCTGTGATACAGACATGCACAGCTCTGCAAGACTGAAGGGTTTTCATACTCCTCTTAAAGTACTACACAAGGAGAATAACAGCTTCTCTACAAGTAGCAGACCCATTTTGCTGTGAGACACACTCACACACAGAGAACCAGCCACAGGCCAATGCTCTTCATCCCAGATAAACCCTTGAGGTAGGTTTTATGTGCGATAGCCCTTGATTTAGGTCTTGGCATGGAGATAGTGTCCCCAAGTGAGACACTATGAGAAGGAAAGCTTTAATTTATGTAATTTATCAGACAAAAGATTTCAATTAGGAAAAAAACCCCAAAACACTGTTATTATCCTTTATTCTTATTGACTTAGATATTAAAGCAGAGAATCTGAAGGTCTAGCCTGCCTGCCTCTATTAATAGAGGCTATAAAATACTAGCCGTCTTCTGGATCAAGCCTATCAGCTCGTGTTAGCCAAAGACTAATCTTCTAGAAAGGTACCCAGGCTGGATTTGCAGATCTCAAAATACAGAGAATTAGCATATATCCCATTGAGACTTGTGCTGGGACTTAATAGCTGCACTGTTTAAAACAAATAACAGCTAATATTTCACTTGAATTTGCCAGTCTTTTACTTCCAGCCCTCATTCCTTGTTATTTTTTACCTTTCCCTGGTAAGTTAAAGAGCCTTTTTGCTAGCAGTGTTCCATGTCCTGTCTGGACCACTGGGTCATTTTCTGTTCCCAACGACACGTCTCACACCACATTGCATAAGGGAGCAGGCAGCCAATTCCTGAGGATAACTCTGTCCTCATCGCATTGGAGGTTTGTGACATCCCAGGGAGCAGAGGGAACAAAGCCTCCTCCCAGCAGAGGCTCCACAGGGATGCTCAGACCCTTTCCCTCTTCCCGGCTGCTGAGGAAGGGCCCCAGCACACACAGTGCAGGGACACTCTTCAAATCTCTATCTCGATCTGTGCTGCTATAACAGCAGTTAATTCTTCTGGAGTTTCCCGCCAGTTGGACCCACTCTGTAGTTTCCAGAGGAGGCTCAGCAGAGCGCTGAGTCTGCTGGAGCAGTAACAATAATAAACTGAGCAGCCATAACCTTGCCTTTAAGGGCTGAGGGGGTAATGCATTTAATACATTAACATGTTCAATAACCTCAGTGCCTGTCATGTGCTGATTTAAGGAACTGAAAACTAATTTATTAAAGGAAGAGTATGGCTGAGGACATGAAGAAGTCTGGTGTCTGGAAACTGTGAGTGGACCAGACTATCAAATGGGTATCTTCAGCCAACAGGCACTGATGTCCTTTACACAAGCAGCTTTTAAATTAATATGAAGTTCCTTGTCCCTTCTGACCTCCAAGCAAAGGCAGCAGCATTCACACAGAAATGTAAAGCAATCTTAAGTAATCGGACATGAGAGTCTGATGTGAGTCTGAACGAGAACAGGAAAATAGCTGTGGAAATGGACAGTGTCTGCACAGGAGGGGAATGAACGTGCCAACACTGACCCAAAGCCTGAAGTCACCCAAGAGAAGGAGGGAAGGAAGGGGCTGCGCTTCCCTCAAGGGTCTAGAGATGAGTGACAAGGGAAGGCTGGTGGTTCCTGTGTCCCCTCTGGAAGGTGGTCAAGGGAAAAGCTCTCCCCGACCTTCTTGAAAGGGAGACTTGTTAAACTGCAAGTTTTTCTCCATTTCCTTCCTGGTAAGAAAAGAATGAAGAAGCTGCTTAACTTCTTTTAAACAACCTCTTGGAGGCCACGGTAACAAACCTCTTAGGAGAGCACTACTACAGTGGAGGTAGAGACACCTCATTAAAGAGGCACATTTCTATCTGCTCCAGAAACGTAAAATCAAATAAATCTTTACAAACCAAATTTCCAAGGCTGCTGTTCCCATCAGCTCAATGAGCACACGAAAATCCCAGGGATTTGCTTTAAAATAAGAACAAAAAAGAAGAAGAATTTCCCTGCAGTTCTGTAACCCGAAGGAACAGCTCTGCTTACAGGGATGGAAATGCACAAAAAGCAGACAAACAGGGTAATTAGTAAAAAAGGGGGAAATATTTAAAGCTCTTTCTTTTGCAGAAGTTTTCCCGGTTCTTGGAACACAGATATGGAGTTTCCAGGGGGGGTAAAGGAAGGAGGGGGGAGGTACATTTTAACCAGATAAAGATCCTCATTAGAAATAATAATAAAACAAATGTTTAACTGCTTCCAGCCTACTTGAGAGTTTAGAGCATTAGATCATGCTGAAGAGCTCTACCACAGCCAACATGAAGACAGCTCCACAGATATCCCCCTTGAGTTTATGCTGAAGGCTAAAATTAACTTGGGAAAGATGATTTCTAAAAGAGCTTCAACTCAGCTTGTGTTTTTCGCAAGTGCACTCCGGTAGCGAGAGCTCCAGCTTCTCCATTCTGCAGCTAACTGCGGTTGCAAAACTGCCCACCAGCAAAGAGGATCCTAATGAATCAGGGCACAAACAAACTGATTCTAGACATCTGCAAAAGAAGCTGTGAACCATCCAGTTCTGCAAACTCTGGCCCTCTCTTTCGTGCTCTGTCACCTACAGCAACGGTTCTATAAGTGGACATTAACTGAGGATTTTAGCAGCACACAAAGTTCATCCTTTTCTCCCTTTCCAGTAACTCTTCCAAAGATCCTTATATCTCCATCAGCAAAACAAACAGCTTTTACCCAGTTGCTGCAGTCATGTGGAGTGCCCACAGGACACAGCCAAGGGCTCTGTCACCCCCTTCCAGCAAAGAGCCATCTCCATGAAATTCCAAGTTACCATCATCCAACTATTTGTCCTGAAATCACCGACCTGTGGAAGCTCTTCCCCCCTCATGCATCCATAGGCAAACAGATAGTTCTGCATTTAAATCCCAACACTGGGGTTTGCTTTTGAAGGAATTTCCATGCTACCTTCCTCATGCAAGTTTCCTGCAAAGCTGAAGAAGGGAAGTCCCTTGGAGGCAAGTGTCTATTTGCAATGTGCAATCAGCACAGTCAGTGCTGACAGTTCGTGTGCTTCAAGGGAGCAGAGATGAAGAGCAAAGCAGCTAGAGAAATGGTGAAAAGGATGGTTTGATTGCAGCATCCTGAATAAAAGCCTAACAGAAGCATGGTGGAAAGCAAGGTGAAGTGACGGAAGACACTGAATGGATTCACCTCTCAAAAGAAAACCTCAGAACAAAGTAACAAAAGCAAGAGAGAAAGAAAAAGAAAATGAATCAAAACTAGCTCCAGGCTGGGAGAGAGAGAAAGAACCGCTGCTCGGATCTGCTGCACGTGTCTGACGAGAATCTAGCCTCAAATTCGGTATCACTTCCCCATGCTCCCATATACCTAGTGATTACCAGCGTGCTGGTTCCCAGAATCACCCACCAGCTTTACCAACAAAGCCATCAGCGCCAGGCACTGATCACCCCGAATCACCCAGCATCTGGGTCACTTGTCTTGCACAGACATGACCCCATCAGCATGTTGGGGTAAGCACGTGTGCCATGTTCCATACACACCAAGTGCCTCCTCCCCATATCCATGCTGTGCCGCTCCCTTGGGTAGCACAGTTTGGGGGGGGTTGATGCTTTTCTTGAGTAATTGACAATCTCAGCTGTGTCATCTTCTGTGATTTGCAATGATGGAGCTACAGATAACGAACATTTCATATCCATGTCAAACTAGAACCAAGAAACTGAACTCGACATCTTTATTGCAAGACTTGCTGCAACCAAAGATGGAGGGGAGACCTGCCAAACACTTGGTGTCACTCGTACGAGAAGTTAAGGGGACCTGGGCACCTCCAGCACTTTTGAAATCTTTACCCAATATCTTTTGGAATAGACTTTTTTCTACATGTGGTTTTGCATATTCCTGGTAAGAGTTCACTCACACACTCACTGAGGCAATGATGAAGGTCACTTGCAAAGAATACCTGGTGGTAGTGAGGTCGTGGATCATTAATGACTAGATGTTCTGGAATGGAGGTTTTAAGAGAAGAAGTCTACTGATATGATATAGGAAATGTGGAAGCTACATGCAACTGCGAAGGATGACGATGTGCAGCGCAAACAGATCCAGAGAGCACCAGCATAAAAAGCCACCCAAAGACTGTCTCCAGGTGCTCAGTCCGAGCATGTTGCCTGTACCCAGGAGCAACTGCTCTCATTTTGAGGTGGTTTGGTTTGTAAATCCCTGCCAGTGAAGCTGCATTTCAAGATCATTCCCTTTAAGAAGCACGGAAAGGATGGCACAGATGCTGTGCTGCAGGCTGGCACGAGCAGCCACTGCTCTCCACTGGTCATCTTCCGAAAAAGGCAGACAATTTGAGACTCCCTCATCCCCCTCCCTCCGACTCCTGGGCTTTTCCAGACCCTGGGAAGGCTTTCCCTTTCCCTTCACCAGCACCCCCAAGAAGGCTTGTAAGTCAATATACTCAGCAGAGGAGCTAGGAGCTGACTGTCTCTTACCTTTGGTTTTAAAAGCAAAGTTACAGTACTTGCAGACATATGGCCTGACGTCTGTGTGCGTGCGAATGTGTTTCTTCAGCATGCTGGGTTTCTTGCAGCGAATTCCACACTCCTCACATACATACTTCCCTCTTCCACGGCCTCGCACATACACATACTCTTCGTTTGATTTGTACCTATGAGCAACAGGTGTCATGATAAAAAAAAAAAAAAAAAAAAAAAAGAAGATTCCCACCTCAAAAGTTGTCACAACTTCCCTGGATTCATTTTCCCTGGGTTAATTCAACGCGTTACTGACGCCACCGCTCCCATTCCACATGTGCTAGCTCTGGGTGATGAGGCTCAATTCAAACTACCTTCAAAAGCTTTTGCCCAGATGCCTAATTCCTCTTCTGGAGCATGTTCTTAGGTCTTGCTCCTCTGTACACACAAATAGTTCAACGTCTGAGATAAGCACAGGGTCACCCAAATGTCCTCGTTTTCCCTATCCTCAAACACAAGCTGAGGCACTCATAAAAGTCTGAAGAAGACATGTCACAGGCCAGCCCGGCTGCAGGAATCATTTCCCTGTCAGCCTAAGCTGTGTTTTAAAATGTGCACAGTCTGCAGCTGTACTATGCAAAGTACTGAGGATCAGAGAAAACACATCCTAGTGAAACCTCTCGTGACACAACCTTTCCCACTCATTGGGACAATAGAAGCCGCCTGAGAAGACCGTAATAGCACACTGCAAACTGTGGTCCCTGCACAGGCTCCTGCTAGAATGAGACACCCAGAATGGACACAAAGAGAAGAAACCATCCTTTTTTAAAACACATTGTGCTAGCACTAAATGTGAACACCACAGACTCCAGGCTTTTTTCTGTTTGGCGCAGTACCATGACTTAGGTTTACCCAAGAGAATGAGATTGGTCATCCTTCCTTCACATTGTATATTCATTTACTTTCTGTCCATGCATTAGTGTATAGGGAAGGCTCCATGATGGGGGCTGAAAAATATTGGTGAGACTGAGACAAATCATTTAGTCTCCTGCCGTTTAGCAAATGGAGTCTGTAATTTCCTGTACTTGCAGCACTAGCAGAGTAAGGTAACATGAAATTGGTCCCCTCAGATTTCTAAGAAGCCAAAGTTTTAAAGCATGGTACTTCTTGCAACTCATTTTTGTATCCAGGGTGAATTATGCCCGAGAGAAATCTCCAAACATCTACCTTAGAAAATCAGATCTTCTAAAGCACCTTAATAGGGCATCTGAAAACACACACCACCATCAGTCACCATTTAGTATCTTCCCAATAAAGCCACATGTGGGGGAACAGCTTGTATTTCTGTCCTTCATCGTCAGCAGAATTTTCCTAGACCATAACCAGCATCATCTGGTAGCCCAAATATTGTATTGTCTCTCTTGTAACTGAAATCACAGCAATGGCATCTACCCTGTGCCTTTTTCCCCCTGAAAAACCCCAAGAACCAGCACCAAAACCCCTTCATCACAAGGTTCTCATTATTTGGCCAGAGGGGACTGAGATGGTATCTGAAGAGCACACACTGACTGCCAGCCTCCACCCCAGCACGTCCAGCTATCTCCATTTAACCATACAGGTACACGCAATGAGTTGTTAGGGATGGCCAATATCCCTTCTTCATTCAGTCAGTGACTTGATGCTAGAGGAGCAAAAGAAACCCAGGAATCCTGATTTCTCTTCTTCTGTTCAAATGTGGATTTGGGACTCTCCTTTCTTTCTGTCATTATGCTGGTAATCACCTTGCCATTTAAAAAGTGAAACTGCTCCTTTATCAGCCTTGTACTTGCTCTACCCTTAATTACACTCTCACATGGCAGTCTCCAAGCAAGTCCTTTGTGTCCAACAGTCCCGTCAGCCTCATTAACGCTATCAGGGCTGGCTTTTCCTGGATAAAAAGGGCCACGTGATTTAATCTGAAATCAGACATTGCAGTTAATCTGCCACTCTGTGACGCTGAGCCATCCTTCAACACAGAGAGTTTTCTACAGCTCCCTTAGACCATGCGTAAAACACCCAGGGAGAGGAGAGAAACAGAAAAAGGAAGGTAACCTAAAAGAATACCAAACCAAACAAGGAGAAGAAAGCAAGGAAGTAATCCTGCCATAACATAGAGAAGGCTGCTGCAAATGCCATCTGTCTGCATTGAAGGCTATAATATGTTTATGGAGATAATTACTTCAGTATGACACTGGTTTCTCTGTGGATCTAATAGGCTCCAATGATTTGCATCAGAAAGACAAATCAATGACAGCTCACTTCATGTGAAGATTTACCCTGGACAAAGGATCTTCCTGCTCCGTAACGTTTGCTGTAACCAGATCCCTCTAATAGCCACAGTTGGAGTTTGTGTCAGCAAATCTGGGCTTCTCTTCCAGAGCACTGTGGAATTCATAATCCTGTAGTTAGCAACTTACACCTCCTACAGTGTCGCAGCTCCCATCTAATACTGAGATGATTTGAAACCCAGGAGGCTAACTGGCCATTACGAGCTCAGAGGCTAATTTAGGAAATAGTTCTTTCAAACAGACATACAAAAAGATATAAATTCAGTTATTTGTTGCAATTTTGGAACAGTTCTTTGCTGCGTTCTGTTAGCAAATGCACATCTGTTGAATTCTGTGCAACCACTACCAACGCTTTTCAAAGCATGAGAAACTGGCAGAGCCGTGGCAGCATCAGCGCTACCACAGGTAGCACCAGGTTCAGAGACTTGATGGCCCCAAAACAGGCCATCACTGCCAGGAGTCACAAGAAACCCAACAATGGGAAAACATGAACCTGGAGAAAGCTTTGTCTCAGCTCTTTACCTTAG